TCCTGAGATAGTGAAGCCAGCAGCTTCCATCTTACTGCGGAACCTGGGGACACAGCTGAGTGTCACAGGTAGCTGAAGGCCATGGAGCCAGAAGAAGAGGCCCAGGATCTAGACCACCTATGAGAGGAAGAAATAAAGACAGAAGTACAGACCCAAAGAGCAGAGGAGGCACAGGCGGGGGCAGACAGAGGCAGGCAGGATAAAGGGAGGTGGGAAAGTAGGGTGAAAAGAAGGGTACAGGGGGGTCCAAGGAGGATGCTGTGACAGAGGCGGGTAGGAAGGAAAAGAGGAAGGTGGGCAAGAGGAGGTAGAAAGGTGTGTGACTACCATCTCTCCCCTCATCTTGCTCCACCCCTGTGGGCATCATACCGCCGGGTCTTAGCAGCCATAGACTGGACAATGGTGCTGTTCTCCATGAGCAGGTCCAGGGCCTTAGAAGCACAGCTAACAACAGCAGGGGGCGGGCTGTTGGAGAAGAGGTAGGGCCGAGAACGCTGACGTAGCAGGGATATCAGAGGCTCAGGCCCTGTGGTATAGCCCCCTAAAGACAGAAAATAATGTGGAGAGGAGCCAGTCAGGTGCCAGGAACTGCCCTCCCCTCCAGTTGCCCTCCCCCTCCTTCTCCACCCATACAAGGCAGGCCCTGCATGTAGGGAAGGAGACCCCACAGACAGGATCTATAGGCACCTGATGCTCCCCCTAGTGCCTTCCCCAGAGTGGAGTTGATGATGGTGACCTGGTCCATCACGCCTAGCAGCTCATCTGTGCCCCTGCAAAGGAAGCAGCCATTGTTGCCACTGGCCTCCTGACCTCCCATCCACCAACAGAAGCTCCCACCCAGGCCTCAAATGTCCCCACCGTCCGGTGGGCCCGAGAAAGCCAGTGGCATGGCATTCATCCACAAAGACCAGGGCACCATATTGAGCAGCGAGGCGGCAGATCTCCCGTAGAGGAGCGATGTCACCATCCATGGAGAAGGCTCCATCTGTGGCCACCAGGCGCAGCCGGTGCTTCTGTGGGGCAGACAAGAGCAGGTGATAGTAGCAGGACCAAACCACCTGCTCTTCTACTGCCTTGGGGCTATATCCTGACCCTCGTCCATCTTCTCCAACCTCAGCCACCTTAGCTCTGGCACTGAGAAAGGGCTTGGGCCTCCCTGTCCCCTGACTCAGACCTCAAGAGGACAAGCTGGCCTGGGACAGATCCTAGTCACACATCCACACACCTGCTCCTCAAAAGTGCTTCCCGATCTCAGGCCATGTGGAGCTATAGAATACAGTCTTGGGCCCGAGGGATGAGGAAGTTCAAACGGCTCTCTCAGCCCTTCAGGCTGTTTGTGAAGAGGAGTCCCCTCCAGGCTGAGTTTCCTTGAGCAGGGGGATATAGACCTTTCTCTGGAGCCCCAGGGCCTCACCGCACCTGAGCCTCCTTCAGCTTAGCTTCCAGGTCAGCCATGTCCAGGTGGCGGTAGCGGTACTTGTGGGCCTTGCACAGCCGGATGCCGTCAATGATGGAGGCATGGTTCAGCTCATCTGACAGGACTGCGTCCTCGGGGGTCAGCAGAGCCTGCGGCAAGGAGTTCCTATATGGCCACCCAGGTTCCCCTTCCCTCGTAACTTCCCCAAGGCGAAACTCTACTTCTTTTGCTTTTTTTTTATGGTTTATTTAATTTTATTTTATGTGCATTGGTGTGAAGGTGTCAGATCCCCTGCAACTGGATCTTCAGACAGTTGTGAGCTGCCATGTGGGTGCTGGGAATTGAACCCGGGTCCCCTGGAAGAGCAGTCAGTACTCTTAACCACTGAGCCATCTCTCCAGCCCCGAAACTCTACTTCTTCCTAGGTGCCTAGGGCCAGTTGCAAACGTCAGGTTGGCACCCGGCCCCTCCCTCGCCTTCCAGGGTACATAGGTTGCTCTGCAGCACTGTCACTCTGCCACACCATCCCAGCTGCCTACCTCCACGTCATCCACGGCCTCTACGCACCTCAAACAGGCCAGCATTGGCATCAAAACAGCTGGGATAGAGGATGGCATCCTCACGCCGGTGGAAAAGGGCTAGCTTGGCTTCTAGCTTCTTGTGGATGCTCTAAAGGATACAGGCAGGCAAAGGTTAGTACCTGTGGGCTTTAAGGGACAAGTCCTAAAGGACAGAGGTTTAGAGAACCAACAGACCCAGGCAGAAGGCCTGTAGCCTCAGCCACATTCTTGCTTTGGCACTGCACAGGTGACTTCTGGAGCTTGGACTGGAGCAGCTGCTCCCGCCATAGAGGATAAGGCCTGGCAGGTCTCAATTCCTGAGCAGACCTTTGTTTGTATTGGGGATCTGTCTAGTGTTTGTGAATTCTGAGTGATGCTAGGGACAGAAGATATGTCTTCACATCAGACTGTCTTTTTCTCCGCAGCAAAGAAGTGGATCACATTAGGCAAGCCTATGCTTACTTGGGGCTCAACTTCTTAGATTTGGGAGCTGTTTGGTAAGACTCATGAGTTTTATTAGAAAATAAATGCATTAAAACTGAGCATGAGTCAGGCAGTGGTGGCGCACGCCTTTAATCCCAGCACTCGGGAGGCAGAGGCAGGCGGATCTCTGTGCTACCCAGCACCTGCTGCGTACCTGGGTCCCACAGATGAAGCGAGTAGAACTGAGGCCAGCTCCAAACTCTCCCAGAGCCTGCACACCTGCCTGGATCACCTCGGGGTGGCTGCTCAGGCCCAAGTAGTTATTGGCACAGAAGTTGAGGATTCCTGGGGTGGAGAAGACCAACAATAGGGCTCAGAAGAGCGAGGAAGGGCCTGTAAGGACCATGGTGTCAGGTCCTGGGACAGGGGCCAGAGAAAAGTCAGCTTAGATTTGCCCTTGAGAGGCAACAGCTGCACAGATGACCCATTCTGGGGAGAGGTCAGAGGCTTCGAATCTACTGTCACAAGGCAGGAGGGTCAGGAGAGGTTTGTACCTCTCCACCTTGAAGGATGAGAAGTTGAAAACCTCGCTATGAATAACGTCCCATCTGAGAGAATCCCAGACCTTCCTCACAGGTTCTGAAGCCAAAACCATCACCGTTTTGATTTTTCTTTTCTTAATTGTGAAAGAGGCCGAGGGCCTCGAACTCCAGTGCTCAGCCACCCGTTGCCCACAGAGTTGCAATTCCAGAGGGGTATCTCAGAGACCTCGGCTATCAACCTTAAAAAGTTCACATAGTTGGCCCAAGGAAATTGAGGCCTGAGGAAGGGATGGCTCACGACCTGGGACCCAGACAAAGAATCTTTAAGGACTTGGTTCTCTAAATGCCCCAGCTTTTGAGTGTGGTGAGTGCTGGGCCATGAACTCACAGCCTTAGGTGAGCTGGGCAAGCACTCAGCCTGTTGCTTATCTCTCTGAAATCACGTGAAGGCTGAAGGTTCTGTTAGGGGATGGGAAGTTCTTTCTATAGTCCTTAGGAGAAGACAGGCGGAAGACACGATCTCCTCCTAGCTTGCTTAAACTTTAGCTTCTCTGGTGGACGAGGGTCTTCCACCCCAATATCCTGTGACACTTGAGCTGGCCAATGGAGGGTCTGGGGAAACCTAGCTGTATTTCAGCTGCTTCTTCTTCTTTCTTTCTTTTTTCTTTTTTTTTTTTTTTTTTTGGTTTTTGAGACAGGGTTTCTCTGTGTCGCCTTGGATGTCCAGGAGCACTAGCTCTGTGACCAGGCTGGCCTTGAACTCACAGAGATCCAACAGCCTCTGCCTCCTGAGTGCTGGAATCAAAGGCATGATTTCTTTCAATGACAATTGGTCTCTCTAGCCCAAAGGTGGTGTCCCTGTCTTTAATCTCAGCACTCAGGAGGCAGAGACAGTCAGATCTCTGTGAGTTCGAGGCCAGCCTGGTCTACAGAGTGAGTTCCAGCACGGCCAGGACTCCACAGAGAAACCCTGTCTCGAAAAACCAAGGGGAGCAGGGAGAATTGGTCTCTCATGCAGATGTCATCAGGAATAAAGGTATTGCAACTGGTAACCTTTACAGCTTGGATCAATGAAAGAATGAGGGTTTTCGTCCACTCTTCCTGGAAGCAGGGTGTAGGAGGCCAATGCAGCTGGATACCGCTCTCTTTTTCTCACAGGGTTGGGTCTCTTGGCAGCACAGCCTTAGGCGCCCAAAAGGTGCTGACGGTTAAATCACCTCCCTCCGTCGAACAGGTTTAAACATGTGGAGTTAACACTAGGAAGCCATAGTGTGCCTGAGACAGACTAGGAGACCAGCAGCTACGCATGCACGTGCATCCCCCACACCCACCCGAGGGCCTCCGTTCACATGCAAGCCCTGCAAGGGCTCTGGCCAGACATGATGACTCCCAGGAGGGGACGTTACCTCCGGAGATACCGTCCACACGAATGCTCGGTCCCTGGGGGGACGTAATCACTCGCTCACTCTTCCAGGTGCCAGCCCCGCGGATCTCTTCTAGCTCGCCCTCCAGGATACCGCGCAGCTGCGCCAGCGCTGATTGCGCGCGGCGACCGGGTGACAACGTCGTGCGCCATACGCTGCTGACCCACATCGCGCCCACGGGACGAAATGTGCCTCGGACTGCCTAGCTCTCCCCGTCACGTGGCGTGGGCAGGGCCCCGACAACCAATCAGAGTAACGGGAGCTTACTTTCAGAGGTTGGTGGGGGTCCCTCCCACAGGCGGGGCCTGACACCGTCGGCAGGCGACAAAAGTGGATTGATTTGTAAGACGAGACCTGGGAGGTCCGCGCTGGGGAAGCTACTTCAGGGCCTCCCCGCCCCAGATACTGCCTACACGTCCACCTCTCCCGAAGACCAGCCACTGTGTCGAGCCGGCCAGTCGGCCGGCATCCTGCCCTTGCGTCTGAGTATTCCCGTCTCCTTCCAAAGCTTCGCTTTTTTCCGGCGCTAACGTGGCACCAGGTTTCCCCACATTGCCCATCCGATCGCTCCTCACTCTCCTCCAGTTGAGGAAAAACGCACCATTCAGATTTTTTTCCTTTTCCAGTTTTATTATTTTAAAGTTTAAAATTACAACCACAGCAAATCTTTCCCGGCACTGATAACACTTATTTAAAAAGGGGGAGGGGGCGCGAGTGCACGAGTTTCCTATTTTATTAAAATAAGAGAGACAACTGTACAGGTTTTTTCTCCCAGCTCCCGAAGTGAGACTAAGTACTAGTCTTAGATACGGATATATACATATACACACATGCACACAAGCCTGACTCTCTAAAGCTACCTAGCAAATTCAAATCAACTATTTTATTTCTTAACAGCCCTCGCCCTGCTTCTTGCCCTCCTCGGCTACTTAGAAAAGACTCAAAAAGTACAAGAGGTTGGAGGGGTTTTAAGTGGCAGCTGATAGAACTGAAGCGGCACCAAGCAAAGCCACATCTTATACAGGAAGGAACAACAAAAAGACACAGCCCATCAACCGTGTGGAAAAAACCCAAGTTTCCATAGGCACACTGAGGCACTTGGCTGACTTCCCACCCCTCCCAAGTCTACTCCCATTTAACAAGAGACCGTTGAAAAGAGCCCCCCTTCCCCAATGGCTAGATCCTGATAGTGAGAAGCTATGGTTTCTCTGGCTAGCTGTCAATTGGAGCCCTTTCCCCTCCTAGACAATGGTGAGGCACTAGGGCATAAGTGACAAGGTCCCCAACTGCTCACCACTGGAGTTTTTCCTCCGTCCCTCTCTGGCCAGTTAGGTGGGGTGTCACCCTCTGCTCCCCACCAGAGGTTTTGAAGCTCTCACAAGGGATGGATGAGCAACTTAAGAAAGCCTTGAAAAGACAAACTTTTGTACCTGGGTCCCCTCATCTAGCCAGAACTTTGCCAGTTCCATTTTCCTTCACAGTAAACAAACCACCCAACAATCCCCCATCCCTAACCCCGTAAGAAGGCTAATATCAAGTCAAGGGAAAAAAAATACATCTTCATCATTACAAAGATGAGGTCTGTGGCTATCCTTGCACAATGGGTTAAGAACCATTCCACAATGTCTGTCTGAGGAATCCGAACTCTGTCCTTTTTTGTAAAGAGTCAGAATGGAATGGGCAAAGGGTTGCAGACGAGATCAAGAGAGAAATGTTATTTACAGAAAAGAGGAAGGGGTGTCCACAAGCAAAGCCTTCATCGTCATTTCTTCTTGCTGGCCCTCTTGGCACTGGACTTGGCTTTGGGCTTCACAGGTTTGGCCTTCTTGGGTTTGGATGTCTTGACTGGCTTGGCTTTGACAACCTTGGGCTTTTTGGCTTTCTTGGGCGTGGCAGCCGGCTTCTTCTTGGCTTTCTTGGCTGGGGTGGCTTTGGGTTTCTTGCTCGGGGCTTTGGAGGCAGCCTTCTTGGGCTTGGCTGCCTTCTTTGGAGTGGCCACTTTCTTGACTTCCTTCTTGGTCTTCTTGAAAGCCACCGACCTCTTAGGCTCATCGCCCTTGGCCAGCCTGAAGGACCCCGAGGCACCCACCCCTTTGGTTTGCTTGAGAACACCGGTGGTCACCAGGCGCCTGATGGACAACTTGATCTGGGAGTCGGCGTTCTCACCCACCTTGTAGTGGCTCTTGATATACTTTTGGATGGACTGGCGCGAGGAGCCGGCGCGGTTCTTCTCTGCCTGGATGGCAGCCACGATCATGTCTGAATACTTGGGGTGGTCCGTCGACTTCTTGGAGGCCTTGGCCCGCTTGGGCTTCGCCGCAGGGGTAGACGTGGAGTTCTCGGTCATGGTGGCCGGCCTGCTCCCGCTGTTGAAGGAGCCTTCCGAAGGGTCAGCCCTCGCCGGAGGCTGGGCACAACCCGCCTCGGGATCTGCACTCCCGCTCGACTAGCAGGCCACCCTGAAGTGCGGCTGCAGGGGACGCACGGCTCCTGTCCTCCCCGGCGCGGCGCGGGTCGCAGGCGGGCTGCTCTGCGCGGCCCAGCCCCCACCGCTGTCGCTCGTCCGGCGCCTGGCGCTGCCGCTGCCTCTGCCTCCGCCTCCTCGGCCTCCCTTTTCCCAGCTTGGCGTCTGGCGCTCGGGCGGCGCATCCGGGTATTTAGCGGCGGCGGGCGGACCGCGGTGAGGACTGGGCTGCTGGCTGCCTGCTCCCGGCCCGGAATGGCGCCGCGCCGCCGCCATCTGTGTTTCTTCCGCCGAGCAAACCCGACCTTTCCTGGCGGTCCCGGCCTTCCCGCTGCCCGCTGTCTCTCGGGGTCCCTGGCCTGATCCCTAGGCTTCCCCGCTGGGGACCCCGGCTCGCCGGTCGCCGTCCCCCGCGCCCGCCACGAGCCCCAAACTGTGCCGAGGAGCGTTGGGGCGCCGGCACATTTCCCCTTTGCGGGGGGCTGGCTCTGCGGGACCTGGGAGCCCCGGGGTTTGAGACCCCCCGTAGGAAAGCTCCCCCCTGGGACTACCAGGGCTCCCACTCCCGGCCGGCTGCGGGGTCCCCCAACCTAGAGGAGCGGCGCAGAAGTGGCCCCAACTAACACACGCGGCCCCGAGCTGGGCGACTCCCAGCCGGGCCGAGTCAGGACAAGAGGGAGGGGTCGTCTCCCCGGGGTCTGGTCACCTCTTGGGGGTCACCCGGCCACAGGCCCCCCAGCACCCTTAACCGCTCTCTGTCCCCGGGGCCCTCAGGGAAACTTTCCCTTGAAGAGTTGGATGGGCACTTTCAAACTTTGTCCCTTCCCCCTCTTGAGTCGCCTCTCTCCTAGACGCGCCCCCAGATCTCTGCGTGAAGATTCCTGTCTGAGCCCGAGCCCCCAAAGCTTCCTGGGACCCCTGGGAAATGGGGACTGGCTTCTGGGGACGCCTGCTCTCCTCAAAGAAACCCCCACATCTTCCACATATCCAAACCTAAGAGTTCATTTACATGCCTTCCTAGCTTGGGAGTTTTGGGGTGTGCAAAAATAGAACCACGAGGCCCACCGTGGGGGTGAAGCTCCCCTCTCCCACTGGCCTCTTGAAAGTAGGGTGTGCCTGATGGGGTGCAATCCACACCATTAGCGCTATTCCTTAGGTGCTAACCAGAGACTCTTCTGGGGGGCCCTGGGATGAGCAGAAGCTCTTGGGTGCTTTAGAGATTTGTAAAAATGGGGGGGGGAGTCCTCGTTTCTCTGGCCATGACATGTTCAGGAGGTATGCAGTCGACCAGGGAGCCGTGGTCCGGACCACCGCCATTTTGCTGGGAAGATTCCATGCCTTTGTTATAAAATGTGTCCATCTTTCCCGTCCTGCTTGGCACAAATCCATGAAGTGAGCATGGGGAGCCAGCGTCTGTAGTGCAACCTGGGCAATTGGGAGTTCTAGGCTTCGAGGGATTTTAGAGGCGCAGAGATTTGCGGAAGAGACTCCCAGAGAGCCCAGGATCTCTTGTCTGCAGCCTACCTCCCTCTCAAAATGCCAGATCCTCTTGGCAATGGCTCTAGAGTAGGGTTCTGGTGTTCTTGCCTATCTGGGCTCGTTCCCTGGACCTCGGTGGTTTTATTAGCAAAAAGGCGTGTAGCTGTCCAATTATATAGTAACCTGGGACTGGGTGATTGATTGTAGCTGATGAAGGAACTTCTGCTAAGACCTGGGGCTTAGATGGTGGGGCTTTGAACTTGGGGGCTTGGGGGCGGGGTATGGGGAAAGCGCTCCTGAGCTTGGGAGTCCCTGACACTAGGGCAAGTTGGTGAGCCTCCCCACCATAGCTCAATCCAAATGACTGGAGGAGGGGAGGGGAGGAACCAAGACAGGTGTCTTCACCACAGCTTTCTAGGTGAAGCGACTGCTGTCAAAGGCCAAGTTAGTTCAAAAGGTCAAGGTTTTTAATTCTGATGATGTCAGTGACCCTGAAGTTTCCTAATTTGAAAACATATTCTGATAGGTTTGTTTGGGTTATTTTGAAATCCAGTTCTCTGCGTTTCCACTAAGACCTTTCTGAAGGTACCCAAAAGCACCTACTTCTGAGATACTGTGCCACCCTCCCCACCCCACTCCCTCGCTATGCATGCCCTAGAATTCAAGTCGAGAGAATCGGGTGACACGTGTTGAAGTTTTTTATTCTCATAGCCCATTAGGGCTTGTAAGGTGCTCCCAGTTCCTTGATCCCTCCTGGGAGGGTGACCCATACCCACATTTACCCAGAGGCCTCCGGGCTCAGAAGGAGGACTGAGAGGCATTGTATTGTGAGATTTGGCTAGCTCCCACAGACCCCAGATCTTTCTTTAGTCTTGCAACTCTAACATCTTTACCTGCCCCCACAATCCCAGAACATTGGCACTGGGTGGGGGCACCACCCGCTGAGACACAAGATTAACAACTCCACCTCCCCACCGTTTGGGGGAGTTAAGGGAAGAAAGGGGATTTTCTGAGAGATGCCGAGGGTGTCAAGATGAAAGAGGCTGCCCCCAGGCTGGCATTGCCTAGCCTCACACCTGGGACACTTGAGGACCAGGAGGCAGGGTGACTCCTCCCTGACCCACACAGTCTCCTTGCAGGTGGCTGTCTGGTGCTGGCTTCTATCGGGAGGATGCTCCTACCCACCCCACCCTCTACACCTACCCGCCCTGAATTTAGTGAGAGGCCCTTTAAAAACCCCAGAGCTGCAGCGCTGTGGGCAACCTTCCTGGGAAATGTAGTCTCTGTGTGGAGTCTCCCTGCTAGCCGGGCAGCTTCTTCGCGGGCCAATAAAAAGGGGGTTTGTGTGACAGAGAAATGAAACCCTGCATGGAAAAAACCTGTCCATCGAATTAGGGTGGGAATGACATTCTCACGGGGAGGGGGCTTACTGAGTCCTTGACTGGAAGATCTACAAGTTACACACAGGAGCCCTGGAAGGCTCGGTGACCCTGTAGTCTCTGTCCTTGTCTTTTCTTTCCACCTCCTGGTAAGACCCCTGGCTCATGCTGAGCTCCAGATTCCCAACGTGCTGAGTATATGTCAGGCACTGGGAATAAAGCCATGAGCAGAAAAGAGAAGCCTTCCCGTGTGAGGCTGAAACTGTAGTGGAAAATAGAAGCATAAGGAAGAAAATGAAGCATAAGGAAGAAAATTTGCTGGGTGGGCATTGTGGTGCTCACCTGTAATCCCAGTGCAGGGGAGATTGAGGGGGGCGGATTGTGGAGAGTCTGAGTTCAGTCTGAGCTACATAGATCCTGTTTCCAAAGAAGAAAAGAAAATGTATATATTGAAAAGCAATGATTATGAACAACTAGAAGTTCTCAGAGGGACCTGGTGTTCACCACCAACGCCCAGCAAGTGTGATTTTTTTTAAAAACTTTTATTTATTTATTTTTTTGAGACAGGGTTTCTCTGTGTAACAGTCTTATTTGTCCCGGAACTCGCTTTGTTAGACCAGGCTGGCCTTGAACTTGCAAAGATCCACCTACCTCTGCCTTCTGAGTGCTGGTATTAATAGAGTGTGCCACCACCGTTCAGCTGTGATTTAAAAAAAAAAAAGCCACCATCTAGGCAAATATTTGAAGGAGGCAAGGAAAGGAGTCATTCTTTTTACAAGAGAAAGACTCTCCGTGCAGAAGAACCAGCTGGCACAAAGGACATGTGACAGGAATGTGCAGTGTGGCTGGGACGAGGGCACGGCAAAGAGGTGATTTAAAATGGTACATGAGGAGGTGGCTGAGGAAGGAGAAGCACCCAGTGTGTGCAGCTAGGGACTTTGGCTTTTTACTCAGTGAGGTGGGAACCCCTGGAGAGACTTGACCTCACCCACAGTGAACTCCAGCTGCAGAGACCAAAGCAAGACAGGGAGTGCTGGCGGGCATCCATATGGGCAGAGTGTGGAGATCAGTGGATGAGAAGGTAGGAACTGACACCAGCTACATGAAAGAAACCCAGGAGGGGCCAAGGTGAGTGGGAGGATCAGAGGGAGGGGTGGTGGCCAATGAGAAAGGAGAGTGTCACAGGGGCAAAGAGGCCAGTCATATCAGATGCCAACAACTAGGGTAGCAAGGACATAGTCCACCCTGTAGTATGGCTGCTACCCTCCAGGAGATGAAAGTTGTGATCAAGGGTCCCCAGAGTCTCTGAACCTCTGTGGGGTCAAAGCTCACTCTCAAATATTCGCATATTTGTCTTCCTAGATGAAAAGCAGGGCCTTGATGGGGGTGACGTGGGGGCAGGAGGGCTGGAGGGAACATCAGGTCAGAGGAAGAAAGGAGTCGTGTTTTGGAAGACCAGAGTGAGGCTTACACAGGACCACTGGAGCAGCTCCAGCCTTGTGGAACAGCTTGGGCAGAGCCTGGTGATGGGAAAATGGGGGGCTGTAGAGAGTAGGGGACCTGAAAGGGCAGGAGACCCTAAGGAGATCCAGCAGAAGAGGGAACCGGGTACAAGGGGAGCTGCCCCAGTGTGCAGGGAAGCCAGGGTGGGGGGTGGGAAGAAGAGTCTGTGAGAGGGCAAAGTGGTGTGTTCCTGAGGGGAGGGAGGGAAACCTGGCAGCTTCCCCAGTGTTACACAGTATCAGGATGTGGACTATGGAGGAGGGGACATGCTGGGAGCTCCTAAAGGAGGAATCCCTTAGACCCCAAGGTAAGGTTCCTCAGGGAGACCTGGAGAGGCTAGAACTGCAAAGGTCTGCAGCAAAGTGAGCTCTCCAGGGAAGTGTGGACACAGCAAGGACACCAGGGGACATAGCCACCATGACTTCCAGATAAAATAGAGGAATCTATCCGAAAAGGACAGGATGGGGACAGAAGCGAGCATGAGCTGCCCCTTGCCTCCTAGCCTGAGCCCCTCATTGGAAAAGCCTTGTCTGGGCTGGAGAGATGGCTCAGTGGTTAAGAGCACTGGCTGCTCTACCAGAGGACCCAGGTTCATTTCTCAGCACCCACATAGCAGCTTACAACTGTCTGTAACTCAAGTGTTCCAGGGGATCTGACACCAATGCATATAAATTATAAAAAAAAGGGGGGAAGGAGCCTTGTCATTGTCTCAGCCTGGCCCATCCATCACTTCAGCGAGCCTGTGCCTTGCGGTGTCTTTACTGGGGTTGATTTTGCATCCCCAAAGAGCACTTGG